AGTGTCAAGATTTTTAACTTGGCGTCTGAGAGAAACACCATTTTAATGCACATTCAAAATTTAGTCGAGACCTGTTTTAGGAACAATTTCCTTCCCCTTTACCCCCAGCAAACGAACACTTTCTAATCTCTAGGTGGTGACGGACTCAAATGCAAGATTACACTGTGTTCAACTCTTGTGCAAGCACACTTAAATCATAAAGTAGACTACATTTTGGTTTTACTTAGTGGTACAGTTGCATTTCTTGTTCACATGCTGAAATAACTAAACTGTAAATAACAACTGACAAAAGTTAATTTGTTTTAAGTTTCATCTTCGTATAACCCACCACAGATTTGGTGTTCTTGCAGAATCTAGCCTTAGAGGTAGATGTAGCACTTCTGAAGCGTTTGGAGGGGATGTGAAACCTTGCTGTGCTGATCCGTTTTGCCCTCACCTTACTCTACCTTTCAAATTTCTTCATATTGGAAAACACCCTTTTATATCCAGCAGCTTTGTAAGCTATGAAAATCAACACTTCTGCCAACATCTATTTTATAAAGTTTGGCTTTACTGGAGTCAGGTAAATCCTGGGATCCACTCCAGTTGCTTGACAGGTTTTGAACAAGCGTATGTGTACTATAATCGTAAAGAACCATTTCCTTTAAAAATAGACAGACTAAACTCTATATTGCAAGGTAAAATAGTTAGGAATCCTGGAAGTTTATTTTTTCATGTCTACGTTTTTGCTTTATTTCAGGACACCCTTGCATTGTGCTGCTTCTTGCAATAGTGTTCATCTCTGTAAACTACTGGTTGAATCTGGGGCAGCTATTTTTGCTTCAACTATAAGTGATATAGAAACTGCTGCAGACAAGTGCGAAGAGATGGAAGAAGGTTATATTCAGTGTTCCCAGTTCTTGTACGGTAAGCTGTGACACTACTTTACAGACTTCTTTAGCTTTTCTAAAATCCATCCCTTTCTGTCTCTCCGATCTGCATGAAACGTCTGCTTAGGCCCCAGATGTGACAATACTGCCCATCACCTGTTCTTTCAAAACGCTAAAAACAAAAGTGTCTTTCGGTGGATATGTTGCTCGTAGTCCTTCTGTTCTTTTAAGTTACTTCACAGGCTCCTTCTAATGTTACAGATTCTTAAATTATAATTTGGCTTAATTTCAAGGAAATGCTTCCATGGGGAGGTTTTGACAGTAACAGTGAGTTGTCAAGTGTTTTGACAGAGATACTCCAACTTCCAGATGCACAAACTTGTAGCAGATCACAGGAAGAAACACGTATACTTTATGAATGATTAACTTACAGAATCTATTTAGTTACTAAGATATATTTTGCAAGAAAAGTACCTTGATGGAGCAGACAAATTTTTAGTTTACATCAGAGGATAGAAGCTTCATTGAGGCTCTACATACCTGACATTGTGCAGATTTTCAAAAGCTTCAAGTGTTACTGTGTAAGGTCTGTTGTAGAAAGCAGGCCTGTGAGGAATATACACCAGTTCTATAAAGCTGCTTTGCTCAAACGTTTGTAAAACTATTTTTATCCTCATTTGAATAAAAGATTGTAAAGCTTCTATTGCATATATTATAAAAGAGAAAAACCTCATGCTCTAAATTAGTTTAAAATATTCTGTAAAACTTGGTTTTATCATGCAGTTCAATTTCTGAAAGCATTTAGTCATGCAAGTGCTGAAAATTGTTCATAAAACTTTATTAATAAGGGACTAATATTTGGGCCACAGTGTCCAATACTAGAAGTCTCAGAGGGAAAAACAGGATATTTTACCATCTAGTGTGTTCTCTAATTTGTTGTTAACAGGAGTGCAAGAGAAGTTGGGAGTGATGAATAAAGGAGTGGTGTACGCTCTGTGGGATTATGAAGCCCAGAATAATGACGAGTTGTCATTCCACGAGGGCGATGCCATTACTATCCTAAGACGCAAGGATGACAATGAAACAGAGTGGTGGTGGGCCCGCCTCAATGATAAAGAAGGCTATGTGCCTAAAAATCTCCTTGGGGTAAGTTCTTTTTAAGTTACCTTCTCCCTTCTATTTTTTTTACTTCCTCCTGAAGTAGGAACACAGGACGGATCTTTGGTCAGAATCCCTCTGTGCATCGTCTGGATACACTGCTATGAAGTGCTGCAAAGCAGACTATCGTTATTCTCTCCGGCCTCTGTGTCGTTGTAAACAAAAAGGAGAGGAGACTACGGTTAGGAGATTAGTGCTGGTTTTTATTTGGCAAGTTAGTATATTTAATACATTTCATGCTTTGATAAGATTTTTTTCCCCCCTTGGCTAAAATACAGGGCCCCTACGTCAAGCGTGGTGGCCCTATGAGGCAGCTCTAAGCTTTGGCCCAGGAAGTTCTTTAGGAAGGTTTTTAATACCTGGCACGAGATGAGCAATAGATAGATATGTACAAATTTAAAACAGGAAAGAGCATTGAAGATGACAACTTTAGGCAAGTCGTTTATGCTGCTCTCAGTCAAATGGAACACTGCTGTCATGGGAGAG